GTTAGACATTTGCTGTTCAAAATTTTTCTTCCAGGTAATATAAAAACCTATTTATATGTAATATAAATAGTATTGTTTTTTTTACTATTCATTTTTTTTAATAATAAATTAAAATCATTAAATTTTTCTTTTCTAGTTATTAAACGCTTGGACTTGCATACAAAATTTGAAGTTTCTATATAAAATAGCTAAAAGTTGAATTTATGTTTTGTTTAAGATTCTTATTATAGAAACTAGGGATTTTAAATAAGTATATGATCTTATGTTATCTTTTATATATATATACACACACACGTAATTGTATAAAGTGTATTATAAAGATATATAAAAAAATAATTATTAATAGATCTATTTCGGCCAACTGTATAAGCCCACTTGTCTATTAAATGTATTACGATAATACTAAACAAGTTTGTAAGTCACTAAAAAATAATTTTATAAAAGTAAAATCAAGCACTAAAAAAATACTATAACAAATAAATAAAAGTTTAGATTAGCACGTCCTCACATCTTTTGATTTGATGTAATGAGGATAAAGTTCTCCAAATCTGTTCCTTAATTATTTATTAATGTTACATGGATAACTAAGTTCAAGTTGCAATAATTTACTTTATGCTCTCCCAGATATTTGGTTTTCTTCCCATAACCGACTAATACTACGTAGAATTAATGATGAATTGTACTTTTCTATATTTAAACATCTTTATATATAATTATTTATCTTGGTTGAGTTAGTGAAAGGATATCATTAATATTCTTGATAAGTGGGTTTGTATATCAAAGAGACATTACCCTTTCGATTTCTGAGTGTTGTTGTGAAACTCTGCAAAGTTGACCTGATTTTGAAAAGTTTTGAAAGAGACTTATAACAAAGGTCATCAAAGCCCTCTCATAACTTGGGCTTCTTCTCCCCTTTGAGCTAGGAAATGTTTTCTTTCTACACCTCCTTAAATTCAGCATACACCTCCCTAAATTCTTTTATTTTCCAAATTTTATAATTAAGAATGTAAATTTGGTATTTTAAGAAGTACGATCCGAATAAATTTTTTAGTTTATATTTTGGAATGTTGAATATAAAATTTGTTTATTTATATTCATAATACCATAATTTTAAATATATATATATTTTTAAATTATGTACTTTAAAATAAATTTTTATTTGGTTATCTAATGGTGTAAATTTGCATATCTTTTTGCCTAAGTACTAATCACTTTTCCTTCATTTATGTTTTTTTTCTTCTTTCGTTAAACTCACAAGGATAGCATTCTGTGATAATAATATTATAAGTGAATAAATTTAAATAAAACTAGTTGTCACCATCATCATCATATGTTGCTATAAAAGGATGAGGTTTGATTTTCATTGGAGGAGGTTGTATTAATGCTTGTTAAGTTATTACTTCTCTACCTAACCAGAAAGATACTAGATGAATAGCACATATCTCAACATTAGCAAGAAAGTGACACCTTCAATACTAGCACCAAACAGGGTTTTGCCCATTGATTCATCTACCAAAAAGGAAAAATTAAAGGCGTCTTATTCTAACCAAAAGAAGATTAATGTAGAATGAAAAGAATGTTTTACTCGAGAAACAAATAATAAAAGGAATCTAATTATTGCAATATAAGTCAATTCAGTAAAAACCCAACCATGTATTAACATGCATGTTCATTGTTCTTAGCAAATTTGAATTAGGTCACAGTTAATTAATTTAATAATCAATTCATGACGCGCATTAAGCTAAAAATTGTCACCCCACATAAGCCTAATAGAAAAAGTGCACTGAACTTTTCACGTTAAAGTCACGGTCCATGTACAGCATATATAACATAATCGTCTTTACCCTGTTCAAATGGTCTTGTTTCGGTCAACTTGTCTTAATGTTTTCTTTTCAGAAGTAATAATACGCTTACAACAGTGTAATTTTATACAATTATCTTACAATTCTTTTTATTAAGTAGCTTAATTTATATTTATATTTTATTATTGAAACAAGTTGTCGTTCAGTTATTTACTAAAAAAAGGTAGTTTTCATAATATTGTTGTTCTTCCCTCGGTATAAGTCGATGAATCGAACTTTTACACTTCATCGCGAAAGATTCTAAGAACGTGACAGAATACTATTCAGGACGCTGGCTATATATGGATGCGTCAATGCATATGGCATAGGCATAACTGACCCTACAGATACAAAAGTCGTAATAGAAGAAAACAAGGTTTTGATAAGCAAACAGATTGTGACGTATAAGTTCCAGCAAAAAGACTGGTCTCACAGCATACTGAACAACGTTTGAGTTTCCGTTAAAAGAGGAATTCATAGCGAATATCCAATTGTGTCTGGATTAAGATTGTTTCTGTTACCTGGGAAAAGCCGAAGAAGAAGAGGTAATAACAACATGGAGGATCCACGTGAAGGGGAGAAAGAGAAGGAGAAGAAGGAGAAAGGAGGGGAAGAAGGGAGGTACCGTGGTGTGAGAAGGAGGCCATGGGGTAAATTTGGAGCAGAGATCAGAGACCCAACAAAACCTACGGGAAGACAATGGTTGGGGACATTTGACACAGCAGAAGCAGCAGCAAGAGCATATGATCGAGCAGCCATAGAATTAAGGGGTGCTCTTGCAATCCTTAATTTCCCTGATGAGTACCATTCTCATCTCCCTTTCTTGTCATCATCATCGTCTTCTTCTTCTTCTTCTTCTGCCAGTGTCATTGGAAGTTCTTCTACTGCACAAGGTGAAGTTATTGAGTTTGAGTATTTGGATGACAAGGTATTGGAAGACCTTCTTGAGTCAGAGGAGAAGCGAAAGAAGAAAGAGTAACAAGATGTGAACTATCTGTGTTCATGTTCTCCTACAACTTTGTGTTCTTCTTTCTGCGTTTTAAGTGCTTGGTTTGTGTCTCCCAAATATTCAGGTTTCAGTTATGATTGTTAAATTTAAAATTTATAAGCTAGCTTAACTTCAAATTTATAAGTTCATCGTTATATTTAACTTCGAACAGTTTCCTTTTAACTGGTATTATGTGACTGATTTTGTTGTCTTGTTACTGCATCAAGTCATTTCTAATGTCTGTTTTAATCAATTTTTTTATCACATCAAGGATACTTATTATTGTTATTGTAGATTTCTTTTATGTATAAACCGAAAGTAATATAACTATTTCTGAACTCAATTTTCGCTCTTCTTCTTTCTTTGAGTTCTGTGCTCTTATGTTTCTTATGATCCATCAGGGGAATGACCTAGGATATTTGCATTATAGGCAGATAAATCTTTGAGGATAGTATGTCTAAAGCATGTCTTAGGTATACCTGTTACTTTACTAAGGTCTACAAGTTGGTGAATGGATGGACGTATAGGATTTGTAGTTGATCGTAGTTCATGATTTTGGCCTACATGGGGCTACAGTTGCAAGGATTCGAGATATGCTTATAATCTTTACCACTTAAGATCTTTAATTCGTTAATGGTAGTTATTTAATATCAATTTTAATTGTGGACGAATAAGAGATTTCTGATTCTCGAAGTATAAATTGTACCGTGCACCATGATAAATTCTTTATATAAAGTCATTTGTAATTCATTTACTTGAAACTTTGTTTCAATAAGATTTAATGTTAATTCAACCATTAAACTTTTCATCCACTTATATATTCTAAACTAGTTGGCAATAATTGATTTTAAGTGTTTTTATGTGTATATATTTCATGAATAAATCAATCCCTTCATAACTTTTATCTTGTTTGTCTCCAAGTTTACTATGTTTTTATATTTTCTTATGTTTTAGTCGGTATGTATTTATTTTATTTCTAATATCTCTTTGAGTGTATGAAATAAGATAATTTGAATCAATTCTAGCGGAGGAAAACAAACTGAAACTCAAGAAAACATGATTGGACACAAAATAATGATTTTTAGACAAATACCCACTCCAATGCACTATAATCACACCCAACATTACACGCATGAATAAAAGACTCACATATAGGGATATACTACTATAAACCACCCTTAGACTGCAAAAACCACCATTGGACACCAAGCTAACTCGT